ACACCTCTCTCCCGAGTTCTATTCGATTTACAGGAAATCGACACACACATACATACCCTCACGACGTCATCGGCAGAAACTCTTCTAGTTCACACCAAAACGTCACAAGATAACGCTAAGCTCTTGGTCGAAAGCATCCGCGAACAACTCACACAACTATCAGCATCATATGCGCGTCTCTCCCGTGAAGTCTTGGACCGCCATGAAGTCGCCAAACCCCTTAACACCGTCGTCGAGAATCTAGCGCGAACAACACGTCTCCTAAGAGGATGCGCGCGATGTCTCTTACTAGGACGCCAATTGGAGGTACAATTGACAGAGGCTATATCTACAGGGATGGACGACTCCCGCGGACCTCGAAGACCCAAAAAGGAGGACCCCAAAGCACTAGTACGTGCGGCTTACACGATCGTAGAACTACGGCGGATGTACACCAATGCAACCGGTGAAGCGCCAGGTCTCGAAAGCTTAGACGTCATGAAGACACTACTAAACACAGTTATCACCCCCGCCGACAGAACGATAAAAACTCGGGCCCAGCAAACCATCAAAGAGTTCAGCTTTCCGTCAAGCAGCTCGAGTAGCACGGAACCGACAACCTCAGAAACTCGTTCCCGTGCTACAGCTGCGATCCTCGTCCTCCACATCCTCTCCCCAACATCATACGCGCCCAACGCCGCACAACCCTCCAGCGCAAAGGCCCCGGCGTCACTCCTAACATCGACGATAACATCATATCTCCAATCCCAACTAACAACTTCCCTCGCATCGTTAAGCCGCTCCCTAACCACCCTCTCAACCCTCGACAGAACGCTAAACGAAGTCTCCACGCGGGCGGCAAACATCGTAGCTCTAGAAAAGATACTCCAAGCCATCCCCGCCAACATCTCTACCAACCCATCACAACTCACAATCTCAACTCCAGCGTTTGACCCGACATCCGGATTTGCAGACCCAAATAATCTGGATGAAGATGACGAAAGTGATGACGACGAAGACGCCACCGGCGAGACAGTCGATAGAAGAAGGAAGAAGAAAGAGGAGCCGGATAATTTACTCTCCCCGCTATTGATATCACTCGATACACCTTCCCTCACCACTCACTTCTTCCGCACGTTAGCATCAAACCTTGACCCTCGCGTGAGGGAAATAATGTCAAAGGGTGGTCTCGCGGCAAAAAACCTAAGAGAAAGTAGAGATAAAGTTCGAAACGGACTGAGGGATTGTGTTATTAGAGGGGTTAATGCTGGTAACGCAGCGAGTAGCGCGACTGGTAGGGTTGGCGCTGACGGTAAAGGTTTGGAAGGCCTGGTAGGTATGATGTTTGGTGCCGTGGCAAGCTTAGGCCGATGAGATGATACCAACCTTCTACCTCGGATGATGGTTATAGATGAGCAATTAGCACATACTAACCTAGTTATCGATCACATCACTATCATGAATAACAATAAAAGTCAAGAACCCAACTCGGATATCCTTCATGCTTGGTACGATACACTATGAAAAAAACCACAATAGAGAAGAGTCTATTCAACACTCTTCCAAACTATAGCCCTGATAATGATACCCTGAATACTCCCAAAAGAAACCAGTGAAAACCCAAATGAAAAACCAAACTCATGGATGAGAAGGTCTACCAATTCATCCAACAATATCAGCATCCTTCTCTCTTTGATTAGGCCTCATCTTTCTTCTATCCTCCCACTTGCCCCAATCCCCATAAATCTCCCCTTCAACAACCCCAACCTCCTTCCTCGTAGTCTCAACCAACCCAAACGTTCCCAAGAACCCAGGCATCAAACATCCCGCGTAAAATGCAAACAAGATTCTTACACCAGCAATGGAAGGCTGTTTGGCCTCAAGTTGTAGCATATACTCGGTAGCCACAATCCCAGCAATAGCTCCCAAAACCCCAACAACATCTACAATGGTGAAACACCAGGTGCGGTAAGCTCGCGGGAACATCTCACTAGCATAAACGTATCCGACGCCAATAGGACCTGTAATCAATAGCATAAAGGTCAGGCAAATCAACAGCATGCGAACTTCCATAGACATTCTTGGCCAGATACCGGCGAGAACTGTGAGAGTGGGAGCGAGAAGCGTATAGGATAGTAAAAGCATGCGTTTGCGGCCCCAGGCGTCTACTAGACAGGCTAAAGTGATATATCCGAGTACAATACCCGCACCTGCCATGATTGCCAGACCACTGGTGATGCTGAGTAAATATTGGCGTACGCTATCGCTATCCAAAAAACGAACCGTGTACTCCGCCCGCTCGAAGATCGTGGGTAGGTTCAACAACATTGGATAAAAGATCATCGAAGAGAAGAAAGCGATTAGGGATAGGAAGCATAAGGGCCACAAATACCGCGGATGGCGATAGCTGCGGCGGAATGTACTGAAGGATGCAGGTCGCTTGGGAGTCAACTTGATTGGTTTCGCAACGTTTCTGTTGGCTATAATCCTAGTGATGATCCCACAGGCGACATTGGCGATGATGACTCCACTGATGAAACGCCTATAAACTTATATGAGATGGTTGATATGCCAATATTGACAAGACTGGATGGGAGGCTTACCACATCTTGTCCAGAGTCAATCTGCAACTCCCACCGCAATGGTTTTGCTTAAGATCGCGTTCCCAAAGCCAAAGAGAGCTCAGAGCGGCGATGCAGACGGTGATATAACCCATGGCGTTATTGAACCCGTTGCGCATCATTCTCAACCCTCTCCATTGCGGATTTGCGGTTCTATATATCACGACCGAGATTTAGCATCATGTTTCAATCTAATGGTATACAGAACTCACAGTACTTACCTGACCGTAGTCAAAGCTGTGATTCCACGCAATCCTCCAACTCCAACTCCAACCAAGCTTCGCCAAAAAATGATGAGAGAGAAAAATTCAATACTAGGGCCATTCCCCGTCAATGTCATCCCCAACTGTGCGATAAAGACAAGACAGAGAAAGCCGCAGAGGACATTGTTTTCATGAAATCTACGGGAAAGAATAGTCGCAAAGATACTTCCGAATGGCATACCAATGAAGATAGATAGTTTGAGAAGCATAGGAACGCTCAATGGCATTTGCATCATATTATCCTCGTCATAACGATTCTGCACGAAAGAAAACAGAATGATGAGGAAAACGGGAAGGAAAATGGTCTTCATGAGTTAGTACTCCTTTGTAAGCAATGTACTCTGAATATTTGTATATTCGGGATAGACCGATACATACGTATGCCTCAACAGAACATCCGACACTACTAGAAATAACACCCCAATCCGAAAGACTTCTTCGTGTCTCTAGATTCAACTTCTTTTCGTCACCGAGAACCGGCTCAGCCATGATGGTGCTAAGATTGCTGGTGTCCCCGACAACTTGTTCAGTGGTTGCGCTTTGAGAAGTGCTCTCATCAGCAGAGGTAGACGAAGCGTCAGCAGACTTAGGGATACGAGGGTGGACGTGTGGAACGCGGTATGTATCTGAAGACACGCCGGATTCAGCGGCGGAATCTGCTCGTTCTACTGGATTGGAATTGTCGCGGCGAGGGGTGGTGGCGCCACTTTTGTGTTTGGATGAGATGGACTCTTCGCGGACTGGAGTGAGAGGATGAGGGTAAAGGGTTGGACGGCGTTGCTGCCACATATTTCTCTTCTTTAGGCCCTATCCGTGGCTATATAAACTTAGGAACTCAATAAGATAGTTATATTTGGTATGGGATTGAGTAAGACCAAGGAAAGCGAAAAGGCCCAATGCAGCATATGTAGGGCCGAGAATGATGTTGAGATCAGAATAAAGTAACATGGCTCTTTGTGAATATTGGTCATTTATAAGTCTAGGATCATGTAATTGTTTATTCTGTTATTTTTCGATCGCGGTTTCGAAATACCAGTCTTGTTTTATGCGCATCGATGTCTATCATCGAGCGTCTGAGCCTCAACACTTTAGAGTGTTGCATTTTGAATAAGATGCGATATAATTAAAGTGTTGCCAACGTTTCCCTATTATTTTTCTCAGGATTTGCGGAGTGTAGTCTTGACCCCAAGTTATTTGGGGTCTGGGTCGAATTGAGAGTACAAGGTTACCATCATTTTTCGCGACCTTTGCTCTTTTGAGACAATAGCTTTGATGAAACCTTATGCCCCATGGGTTTACCAATGTTTATATCCGGTACATAAGCTTTATAAGGTGCTAATACAAAGCTATGTTTCTATATCCCCAGCATCTCTTCTCCCATACTTCAACGAGCTTGAGACTTGTATTTTGAAATCCGTTTTATCATTGTTACCTCCTCCCTTGTTTGATTGCCCTCACCGGTCATCTGCATGATGCAGGAAAAAACTTTAGCGGGAACGCGCATATGAATGATGATTTTCCATTCGTCTTCAGAGCTATAGGATTTTTTCAGAGAGACTTCAGCACCTAAAAGATCGGCCTTGATAGTTAGTGGCAGAACTAGCGACTGTCCCTCCCCCAAGCCCAAGCTTGGTGAGTGGACACCCGCATTCGATGTCTGTTCCGATCAGACTTTGGTTACTTCAGGAAATTCTTTTTTACTTTTTATCCCTTCTGAAGCTTAAGCGTAATAATTTGATTATTCTTCCTATATTGATAACTCTGAAGTAGTGCTGCGAGCAAGTCACAAATGGTTCTGACTCTCCTGATGACAACAAATCAGACTAGTCCTCACTTGAAGCTTAGACTTGTTCAATTAAAACAATACTTTTCGCCTCTTAAATCGATAGCTAATAACAATCTATGATAGTTTATTCGCATATACATTACCAGGACCATATATGATGCAAAGATTGGCGATGAAACCTTGCAAAGGTCGGGGCTGGCGCTTATAGAGATGTATATCAGATTTAGTTCATGCTTTCTAAAGTTGCCATCCCAAGCACAAGGAAAATCGAGATGCTGTGTGAGAATATCATTAAGCGAACAAGGTATTATTGGTTATCTACGTTATCTAGTTCTTTCCATGCAGACTAAAGGTCTTGTAGTTCAATTGGTAGAACGCCCTAGAGAACGTGTCAGTGATCAGTAGGCTCTTGGAGCGATAATACACGGGGCTGGCACGATCTCTTGGGAGGTGTCTGTTCGAATCAGACCTCGGCCATGCATTTCTAGCTTTTTTGTTTTCGTCCCCTTTTTACTTTCACCTCATATCAAATTTACAATTACTAACCTGAGAGGCGATTCCAACCTGTAGACTGTACTTACTGATTATATTCTTTCTCCTGGCTTAGGCTGGGAGAACCAACTATTTCCTTAAGATTTTGACAGGTTCTCGCATCATGCCTGTGATTTATGATAACGAAGCCTTACATAGCAGCATATTTGTATATATGGGATTTTTACAAGGGCAATCTTACACTCTATAGAATTCGAAATATCAAACGAAGACCATGAGCATAGATGTCAGTGGACAAATTGTACTCAGATGGCTGATTTGCGTTAACGCTAATGTATAGAGAACCTTAGGATCCCAGGAATAGGAGAGTCGATCCCCGAACACCAAAAATCAGCCAACAAAGTATTAAGACTTTATACGATGCTCATAATTTCAAATAAGGCCTTGTAGTTTAATCGGTAAAACAACCGGGAAGACTCTCATGGCACCAGCCCGCTGGTTCTAATGCGCCAGTGTGCCGCGGGCCAGTTAGTCAACTCGGGAGAAGTCTGTTCGAATCATTCTGAGGCCAAATTTATTTTTGAAACTTGCAATGCATATATATTAGGCTCTTTGTTGCTCCGTGTTTGATTAACGGTTGTGGGATGGCAGTTTTCAAGGTAGATTATATAAGGAGGTTAATAGGTCTGGCGGTTTAGGCTCTGCTTTGTTATAAGATTAGCTTGACTGTGAGGTATTACTGGTCGAAATGCTATAGCAATAGCATTTGTTAAGAGCGTACAATGCTTTTTGAGGGGCACTCCACCTATCTGAGCTGGTAAGCAATTCTAAAATCTTTATATTTCATCAAATTAATACTAAATATAACGCAGGGTCTTGTGCTTTAACAGGTTGAACGCCTAGCAGCGATAGTTTGAAGTTATAAGGACGGGGGAGCCATGTCAACTTCTCCTGAAGCTTAGATGTGGTAGGCTGAAATCGTGACGCGCTATCCCAGCTAGGAGGTCTCCGTTCGAGTTGGAGCTTTACCATTCTTTCACACACACTTTTTTTTCGAGTCATTAACAAAACATCTTCCTTTCACCCATATTCATTCTTTAAGGGTAGTGTATGCATCACCCCCTTCTTTAGGACAAAGTTGTAAGTATAGAATATCAAAAATAGGTCTTGTAGTTAAATTGGTAGAATTTCTACATAACAGTGTGGTTGCTGGTTTCAACAACCTCCTTCCATACATTTTTAGAAGATCTCTATTCGAATCAGAGCTTGACCTTGTGTCCGTCTACAGCTTTTGTCTTTCCTGCTTCTCTTCCTCCTATTCATAGCTCCCTCTCTTCCTTGCTTCTTCATTTCAAAAATCATGCTAAACTTGAAGATAAGATTTTTGATGCCACCGATAGAATGGGCTGCAACGTAGCATATTTCTGTAATTAATTACCAAGTCTTATCAAGATCTACCAGTATCACCATTATCAAGAGGTCATCTGCAAACATAGCGGTTAAATGACTGTACAAGGAATATGTTAAAATTGATAGAGTATATTCAATATTCATTAGAAGCTAATATCATTATCTCATTACTTATTGTATCTGTTTTTTTCGCGTCATATATATCTGCGGAAAAAGGTTAAACTCGAGCAACGTCTACACAAAAAACAAGCATCGTAAACCCCAAAAGCAAACCCACTAAACGTTGCAACCAAAGTATTAAAAAGCATCAAAAAAAAAAAAATATGTCAAAGCTTCGATCGAGAGTAGAATGGAGCGGAGGAGTATCTGTCAGCCAGTCGTCGTCAAAATACACAAAAAACATTAATGATCAGTAAGTAGTACCTCATTGGATGGATCTGGTTAGGTCCGAGACTAAAAATCGAGTGACGAGTCACAAAGGAGATAAAGGAAAGAAAGGATAAATCGTTAAAGAAAAATATCGATATACGTTAATTTTTTGGTTTTTAGATGAACCGAGGTGGTCCAAATGATGTGAAAGAAAGAGTCTTGAAGAAATTAACAAGCTAAAGAATAAATAGCAAAGATGATGGAAAGGAACACAAAAATGTACTTCTAGATCACATCAATATACATCTCCTGTAGAGGGGCAGTTGGGGTAAGTAACATAAGAGACCATCTTCTCATCATACAACCTTCGGACAGTACACGCACAAATTCTATATATTGTCAAAACAGCCAGCAAATACGGAAAGGGTAAGCTATAAGATAATCGAGAAAAAGACAACGATATCGCTCCTCACTGTGCAATTTTGGAAACTAAAACAAATTCAAAAACGAAAAAATGCGCATGTATTCTTTTGTAAGGGGGTATGTTGCATAAAGGGAACAATGAATAGACCGCCCTCCTTGAAGAGGGCCCACATAACACCGGGTAATTTTGTTTTTGTTTCCGAAAAGGAAGAAAAAAGCCGTGAAGAAGACAAGCCAAAAACTTTTGTCTTTCCTTATTCATGAGTATTCGTTATAAATAAGATGAAAAAAGCGAAATAAATTGTTGCAGTTCGTTTGTGCTCGAAAGGAAGAAAGAATTTGCGGTTCGTGAATACTATAAAATGAGAAGAAGCAGCAAGTTGAAATAGCTTTGAAGAAATGTCGTTTCGGTATTTCGTGGATATCCCGTATATATATGTTTCATAAAATCCATTAATATACTGTTCAGAGGCGGTCTGTCGTTTGCTGCGAGTCCCGCAACCGAACCTCTATTGTAAAAGGTATATTTAACGCGAAATGTAAAGATTATCCATGCCGTTCATAAGCAAGCCTTGGTTGCGAGCTGATTGTAATTCAAGTCCGAGTCCACTTGGTCCACCATTGTTCTTCTTAGAGGATGAATCGTTCACATCATCAATTGGGAAGAGGTCTTCTTCGATTGGTGTGAACTTAGCCGACGAGCTTGAGAATCCACGCTCAACAGTCATGCGGGTAGAGCTAGAACCAGGGGTGGTTCTTGGGACAAGTCGGCTGTGTGATAGGTTCGAGCCAAAACGGGTCGGTGAAGCAATAAAGGATCCGCCATCCGTGGGGTCTGGACGACCGATCGGGGCAGGTGGGGGGCTCTGCTTGTGCGCATAAGAATTGCGAAGAGGGGAGCCTACGTGGCCAAGAGCAGACAGTGCTGACTCCTCTTCCTTTCTTTGCCGTGAGAACAACGGCCCGAACCTAGAGCTCGGAGATCCAACGGCGCTTGTGGGCTCGCCAGGGGTGTTGGGCGCAGTGTTTCGACGATGCCAGGATCCTACAAGAGCATCCTCATGATCTGGTCTTGACATTCTTCGGCTTTTTATTTCCTTGCCACGGTCGCCATACACATCTTGAAGCAAGGACGTTGGCACTAGATCCTCACCCTCTGAGTGATCGAATGGATTCTCATCAGATATCATGTGACCGATAGGGCGAGGAAGGCTGGAAGACATTTGGAATTTGGTACGGCCAAGCCTGTTCTGCAGTATCCTTTGACTGAAAGATGTCTCGTCTGGTTGCAAAGGGGGCGATCGCCTAGAGCGTAAGGAATCCGTGCTCTCGGCATCATCCGCATATGCCGATCGGCGCAAAGACTGGAGTGCTGAATTTTGCGGAAGCGAGGCCGGTGGTGACTCCATGCCGAACTTTGAGGGGACTGATGCCGCGATCGGTCCGTACTTTGCGAAGTAAGAAATGCCATTGCTGTCCAGAGATGCTGGGAGCCCAGCATCCAGTGGTCCGAGCGTTCTATGTGAGGTTGCCAACGGCGACAAAGGTAGGCCGTTTTCTTCGCGCGGCGAACCAAACGAGGGTTCGTACGTTACACCATATGCGTCGTACCCGTTTGGTTGTTCCACAGCCCCGTCATACGGGCCATAGCCTTGGGTGCCGCTGTAAGGATGCTGGGGAAGCATGCTCAGAGAATTTGCGAGCGCAGAAGGTCGTGTGTGAGTAGGGTATTCTGGCACAATCCTGCCTCCGAGCTGGAGAGTCCCATTATTGAAACTAGGTCGGTTTATCCGTCGACCGTCGGGTAGAATGTGTGCATTCGCGCACTTGGCTCCGAACTTACAATTACCCTGGAGAAAACAAACCCGACAAAGTTTGACGATGTTGGTTAGCCCTCATGAACGTCAACAACGGGTGCGTTTCGCGCCGAAAAATGGCGCTTCGCATGCACTTTACCTTTTGGAAATACTTGCACGGCGCTGATTCCGTCGTCGGGTCCATCGAATGGGAGAATGGACAGGATCTGCCGGCTTGACACTGATTTTGCCGAAAGAACTTGCAAGGAACGTGGGCGAGATCTACGAGGCAACGCAGTTTTGCAAATTAACCAATGTTCAGTCTTGCCAAATCGGAATAACATCCTTCGAGCTGGACGGGAATATGTCTCTTTCTGTCTCTGCGGGTCGGTTCCCCGCAAAACTGGACGGAAACATGACAAAAAATTTTTGGGCATGTGCGTGTTACGGCGCAGGAAGGGGAGGAAGGGGAGAGAGGTATCCTACTCTTGTTCGGCGGGCTTCTCGCTGGATCGAAAATCTGTCCCGGAGCACCATAATTCTGACTGTTCGATCCATTTATTTGCAGACCGTTAGATTCGCCATTTTGCAAGGCGGATAGGCCGCTGAGAGTATGTTGGTTGCCGCTGGAAAGACGTCTGTGGTCAGCCGGCCGACCGTTTTGTTGAGCGGAATATTGCAGGTGGTCGGGAGGGGAGCCGATTGGCATCTGAAGTGAAGATGCCGACTCCTGACGTTGAAGATGAGGGTTCGACGACTGTTGGTGCAATTGGTGCGCATGGGACTGCTGGGGGAGGGTCGTCGTCGACGCCATCGCGGACGATGAGACGGAGGAAGGAGGAGAATGGAGAAGTTCGAGGGAAGAATGATGGTGGATGAGGTGGTGGTGGTGAAAGTTGTGGTGTTGGTGGAGGTGAGCCATTCCGGAAGATTTGATCTGATTGGACTAAAACTGGCTCTGCTCGACTGGATTGCTCTCTTTTGGCA